GTTTGTGTTTTGATATAAATATTAAAACACGTTTTAGGGTTTTGGGGGGAGAGTCTTGGGGATATTTGAAGCACATAAAAGAGTCTTTTCCGGAGCTATTGGTTAGGGTTTTGTTTGAGAGATTGAGAGCTTCGTGTGAGAGATTAGTTTGTGGATTTGTAATCTTTATTTGTACTCTTCTTCTCTATTAGTGAAAATCTCATTCCCTTCTTGCCCTGTGGACGTATGCAACTTGCCGAACCACATAAAATTAGTGTGTTTGTGTTTGTACCGTTATTTTGATTTGTTTGGTCTTCTCTCTTGGCGTTTGGTTTGGTTTCTCGAAGCACAACAATTGGCTTCCGCGCACAACATATTTTTCTTTTATTACTAATGTTGTTGACATTCCTTTTAGTAACCAACAAGGAATATGAGTCTTGAGTTGAGTCTTGATCCCTTTTTTTCTCTCTCCGTGATAACAAAAAAAAAAAAAAAAGATTCAAATTTAAGTGTTTTTGTTTATTTGTTAACAAGCATTATGCCCATGCTTGCACGGGGGTGGATTTGATTTCTTTGATTTTGAAATCTATTTTTTTTTGTTCTCTATGAGTTTTATTTAGTTATGGCCATCATGCTTCTAAAAATTGAATTGTACTAATCTTTTTTTAGTTTTGTCACTTAATCCCCAATAAATTTTGGTAGAAAACCCCCAACAACTATTGCTTGTAATTTTTTTTTTTTACCAGGAGCTATTTATAATATTCAAACTTCTAGGGTGGGTTTTTTTTTGTAATTTTAGTATATTTAGGTTTGCTTGCAATTTTTAGATTTTTTAGAGGGATTTTCACAGTTTTAGATTTTTCATTGTGGTTGTTTGTAATTTTTAGAAATTTAAGGGTGTTATTTGGAATTTTCTTATTTTTAGGGATTTGTTTGTAGTTTTAGGATTTCTCAAAGAGTCATCTATAGTTGTTGGAATTTATAGAGGGTTGTTTATAGTTTTTAGATTTTTCAAGGCAAGATTTATAATTTCATAATTTAGTGGGGCTATTTTTAATTTATATATATATTAGGGATTGTTTGTAATTTTACGGGTTAATATGCAAATAGGAATAATTTTAGAAGTACACCTCGATTTTGGGGGATAATATTCATTAGTGTACAATTATGGGACAACATTGTTATGTGGATAACTGCAAAACATCAAAATATTTTAAGGCCCCGTTTGGCAAAGGGTTAATGAAGAGGGGTTAAAGAGAAGGATTAATGTACTTAGCCCATTTGATAATCCGAAGGACTAAATTATTAACCCGTCAAATAAGTTTTAATTTAGTCCTTATGATCAGTTTTAGTGTTTGGGAATAACAATAATTTTGACTATTTTCTTTATAATTAGAAGGGTTAACTCTTATTCCATCTAAATAGGAGTATTAGTAAACCCCTCATTTTGAGGGGTTAACTCATTTTAACCCCTCTAGAGGGGTTAACTTAATCCTTCTATATTTTTTATGTTTAACAAATTATGGAGGGTTAACTCACTTTAACCCTTATATAGATTTGTTGTGTTTGGCAGGTTAAGAAGGGGTTAAGTCTCCTTAACCCCTCACTTAACCCTTTGCCAAACGGTACCTAAAGGTTTTATGAAATTTCTAAACTTATAGGGGTTTCAAAAAGTTTCGGGACTTAGCACCAAGCTACCAAACTTATTGGAGGCTTAGTAAAATGTTAACTTAAAAACAAATTAAGTAGGCAACATGACAATCTTTCGATATGTAAGTTTAGTGGTAGACCACCAATCTCTATTTTATACAAAAAAAAAGGATTGTAAAATTTGTGCATTTAGTGAATTAAAAATTTTTAGGGGTTTAATACAAAAGCACCTGAACTTGATGGAGGTTTAGTGAACTTTAGCTTTTAAAAATTAGGGGCTGACAAGTGATAATTTTTTGAGATGTAAGGCGAATATTAAACCACTAATCTCTCTTTATATGCAAAGGAAAGAGAACAAAAAATACAATTAATAGAGTTTTTTAATTATAGATAGTTATGATTTGATTAGCATTACTAAATATTTAATTATAATTAGAATTGCAAATTATGGACAAATTTAAATTGATGAGGATTCTTAGGTGAATATAAGATTAGATGTCGATATGATATAATATAAGATGTGTCCACTTATCAAATTTTTGGTATAACACATGTCAATTTTCTTTGTGTTTAGAAGTACCACCAATTTCTCTTTATATATAAAGGAATGTAATTTCATGCTAATCTTATAGAGTCCCATCTCCTTGTATGTTGAAGTATTACAATTCAAATTGAGAAGTAAGTTAGGAAAATAAAGTTAAAATAAGGAGAGCTAGTGTAATTTGAGCCCACTCATTTTCAACATCTAAATTTATAATTTACTTTTGAACTTTTTCGATACAAGTAGTTTATTTTTCTTTTACTACTATTGTTATTGGCATTCCTTTTAGCTAAAGTGAACAAGGAATATGCAAGTTGCTAGCTTTATCTCTCTTATCCCCTCCCCCCCCCCCCCCTCCGTGCCATAACAAAAATATCACATTTAAGCCCCACGTAAGAGTTTCTCTATTAATGATCGTGGAAAAAAAATATAGATTTAGCTTCTATTAATTATGTGACTCGTCATTCAAAACGATCTCGTGTTGCTTCTAAGTCGTCTAAGTGAAAGAAGATAACACGAGATGCTTCATATAGGCATTACATTTTTACAACTCAAACAAGATGAAGAAAGATGCAGATAATTCTAGAAGGTATAATATAGATTTTGTTGTTATTAATTGCACATCTATTCGTTTTGCACTTTAATTACTTTTAATCAGGACTTGACCGATCCAAGAAAAAAAATGGCGACTTAGATATTTGGATTAAGATACATTTAGCTTCATATATAGATGGAGTAAAATGGAAATCTAGTAGCTTTATTAGATATTTGGATTCTCAAAATTTAACAGCTTCACTTTAATTAGAGATGAATCCTCATATGCTTGGCTATTTAGCTTGGTGTATGACATCACATGGATCGAACAGAGCGAGAAAGAGATCTTAGCCATCAATTGCCTCCTCCGCCAGATTAGGGTTTTCAGGGGCATTTTAGTAACTTCATGCAATCAGATTGAAAGCGGACTTAGCGGTTGACAGCCAATCAGAGGCCTTGGAAGCCTTGAGAACCACAGAGCAAATCCAAGGTTGGGTCACATGATGTCCGGAGTGTACGACGTCAGCGGATATTTTGGAAAAACTCTCCACTCCAATACTCGACACGTGTCCTTAAGATTCGAAAACCCCAGCTTTTGAAAATTCCCACTACCCACTACCGTTGGTTGTCACGATCCTCCGACGTTGTAAAGGGGTTTTACCGTTTACCCCTCTTTTGCTTCTCGCGTGGGTTTTCCCGACTCTTTTGCACTTAAAACCTTGAAGATGTGTCTTTTTGCAATCCGTGTGTATTTGTCTAAAGAGAAGAAGCCTGTTAATATTCTCAAATAAACATGGTACTTTAGACAATTCTGGCTTAAACGTTCTAGACCAGAATATGAGCATACTTGATTAGATTATTATTATTATTTTTTTTTTTATGGGGGGGGGGGGGGGCTAATTTCAGAAAACCCTCAATATGGAGCATTAAACACGATGATATTTCTAACAAGTGCCCATGGGCATTGATTAGAGGATGAGAGGGATAGAGAGAAATAAGTAACAAGTGGACTCTTCTCATTTGCACTAATTTCTCTATTCATCCCCCCACCCCCACCCCCACCCCCCAACTCCCTCCTAAAGAGTACCCTATGAACACTCAAAGAAAAATCCTAACTATAATTAACTGATCCATGTATTCGATATTTTTAAGCAATAATTCTTCACTTTTGAAAAGTTCTTCCTCCTCAATGGAAGATTAGATTCATTCTTATCTAGTTAACTTCTTTGAAGGGGCAAAAAAATATGTGGACATAAAGGTTTTGTCACACCGCAGGCCTGTTGGTATGCTATAAAATGATGGGACCCACTGAAAGAAACTTAGGGGCTGTTTGGCTGGGGTTTGGTTGGTGTAGTACTGTAGCTGTTAGATTGCTACAGTATTACATTTAAAAAAGTGTTTGTTTGGCCAAAATATGATCTAATGCGGCATGATAAAAGCTGAGTTGCAGTCTCTTGTTAATTTCTAGCAGGAGGAGATGTTTTGGGGTGTTTTATTGTAGCTGTCAGGCTGAGCAGGGCCACTCAATCCCATATTACTGAGGCAATCCCATGAATTACGTGAAGAAGAGCCAATTGGACCCTTATTGTTTGGCTCAACCCACTGCTAAAAAATGCTAGCACTAGTTACACTTAACTCATTGAATTTATATTATAAGACAATTAATCACGCAATCACTATTTAGTATGGGACTATGTTTTGTGGTATTACAATCACCCCACCTTGTGCACGCGATGTCCTCATCGTGGCATGACAATTAGCAATCAGCATATCTCAGTTTTAATAACCACACTTCCGGTATTTGGCTCAATCCCTTGCCAAAAGGTGCTAGCACTAGTCGCATTTAGCTTCTTGGATTTACATAATGAACCATTCAATCACTAAATCGATATCTGACGTGGGACTATATTTTAAGGTATAACAGGTTCTTCAGTCAAAACAGCAACAAAATGCATCGTCATCAAACAAGTGAAAGGGCCAAGGTAATTCAAACAAATAAATTTAGAGAGTTCACTACGATTGCTCTAGTGGGCTTCAAGGATTATCAAATTTAGACAGGGTGAAAATGAAAGGAGAAGAAAAAAAAAACCAAATAAGATTACAAGTTCCCGCATGCGAGTTCCCGCACAATAAAAACCACCCACTTGGCCGTACAATAATAGCAAGACGACGAAAGAACAAAAGAGCTTTATTATCTCTCTCTCTCTCTCTAACTTTCTCTCTCTAAAAATCAATTCAATAGTTTCTATAAATGGCAAAGAGAACTGACCCTCTCTTTCCCCCACCGAGCAAAACCCTTCTCCTTCCTTCTTCCTTCTTCTCTCCTTAATAATTTCCCAAACGTCTGAGATCTCAAAACCCTAGGGGGGGGGGGGAAAATAGGGGGGAAAAAAATAAAAATGGGGAGGGGGAGAGTCGAGCTGAAGAGGATCGAGAACAAGATCAACAGGCAAGTGACCTTCGCCAAGAGGAGGAACGGGCTCCTCAAGAAAGCCTACGAGCTCTCCGTTCTCTGCGACGCCGAGGTCGCCCTCGTCGTCTTCTCCACTCGAGGCAAGCTCTACGAGTTCTGCAGCAGCCCCAGGTATGGATTCTGAGACCGTCTCTTGATTTTTGGCGGGAAATCGAAGTGGTCGTAGGGTACCAAGGCGAAATCTTTGGTATAGCTAGGGTTTCTTCTTGCTCTGGATCCGTAACCAAGCAGTACCGTCTAGCTTCCTCGATCGAATTTTCTCAACTAGATCTGCTGAAAGTGATTTGTGTTTTGCTTTGATCTTTTGATAGTAGATCTACTCTTTTAAAAAAAAAAAATTCTTTTGGACGTCTAAAATTTTTACTAAAAAACAAATATACACCTTTGATGAACTTGCCTAGCCTTGAAAGTTATAAATTATATCATCAGAAAAAAGGGAAATTTAGTTATTTCTTCGCTTTAAGATCTTCAATGATTTCATTCTACCGCGGTATGTAGTGATGATTCAATATTCAAATGTTGGCGGATGTATTTTGTGGTGTGTTCACTCTTTGCAGCAAAAAGATAGTAATTTCATTCTCTTTAATCCTTTTACCTCAGAAAACGTTAGATATTATATCACTTTTCTTCACCTATTTTTCCCTTGGACAGTGTCCACTGTGTTTTAGCATGCTCAGTTATTGGTGAAGACATTGCGGGGTTTTTCTTTGTTTCTGTTCCATCACAAGTTAGGGTTTGTATGAGACGTCAGCTGTCTGCAGATCAATTAATATCAACTTTGACACGGAGCTATCGTTGCTCATGGGAATTGACATAAAACTTTACATAACTATCCTAATTAATCTTCCGCTAATTAATTTTTAACATCAACTAATTAAAATTGAACGGAAAATACTAGTTTTGTCCTATGATATTCACTTAATAGCAAGTTACAAATACAAGAAATGAATAGTTTATTACCGACCTATGGGTAATAGTTCCACCATGCTTCTATAAAGAAAGCTGTTGGATATTCATGCGTTAGAATAGTCTCACATGCAAAGGATGAAATGAACGAAAAATTAAAATAGGAGTTAGAAATTAACCAATAGTTCGGATAAAAGTTGGTTTCTAGTCTTTATTTAAAATCCGTTTAACTTCCGGTTGAGTCTATTTTTCTCAACAGTTACAAGTGTATCACAAACTAAAGTTGTGACCCAAGGAAAAATGAAGACTGAAAGTGTCGAGAGGATGAGTGTGGTCAGAATGATCCAATGATAGTTGGCATTTCATGCTTCTCCAATGATCGCTAGAATAGACTTGGGTCTTGTAAGCCCATAAATGATGGGGGAAGATCCTATGGATATTTGCAATAATGTTGTCGCCGCGTGATTATTGATTTAGATCCAAAGTCAGGTTAACCCATGGATAGATAGTGTCCGAGATCTTTCTGGTGGAACGACAATGGTCTGGCTAACCCACTAATGGTGAAAAATACTAGAGTCTCCTTCAACTTTTACTTCATCGTTATACTTAAACTAACCTATAGTCATAGTAGTTCCATAGGTAACCTCAAATTTGGACTTTGTCTCAAAATCAATGAGGTCTTATATCTTTGGCATATTTGGTTATATTATTGTTTTTCCTTCTGAACTAAAACGTCAGTAACACATATTGTTACCTCTAGTAAACCCAACTGGATACTAGTTTAGCTCATCAGAATGTAGCTTCACTATTACGAATGTATTTAATGAGGAAAAAGATGCTCAAGGCTTTTGTGGGAAGTTCTTTTTTTAATTATTTAAAGTTTAATTATGTTATTCTTTTGCTTCTTTGGATAATCCTAGGTTGGGATCAGTGCATTAAAAAGCTAGGGTTTGTATGAGATGTCAATCTCATTTCAATTGATCGAAGTTTCACAGAACAAATTTCTATGAAACACTCCATCACTTCGATTGACGTAACGTTTTCCCAATAAATAATTCAGAGGCTATTGCTATAGTGCCCTGTGGCCACTGATTCTTTGGGAAATTTAAGATTCCTTTCCATCCTTTATGTAGTGGTTGTATCTCTAGCCTATAGACTGGAGGGTATTTACTGATCTTCATACTTTGTACTTGTTTTTGTAAGAATAATGTAGGCTTGGTTGCATTTTAATACCCTATAGTTTCCCATACTTTGCGCGTTTGTATACCTTTGGTCATTTTTTTACAAGACTTATTGTTGATGTTAATAATCAAACAACTAATTAAGATGGGGGTTAGTTTGTTGGGAGTCCTCTAACTCCTCAAAATGTCTTGTTCCGGAGCGAGCTGTTCTTCCCTGCACATATAAAAACTTGCAAAAAGATGGAGTTAGGTTCTCCGATTGTTCCTTTGACGATCAAGTCGGTAAATTACTTGAGTGGAGAAGAAAACAAACTGTAAAAGTTCTTGAGATTAGCGAGTAGAAAAATTCCTTACCTTAGTGCTGAGAATAGTCCCCCTATGTATAGTAATAGCAGAGGGGTGGTTTGGTAACTTCAGTCGAATATGGGCTGGTGTCTGAGTCAACATTTGCTTTACAGGTGTCGGCTACCAAGTGACGGGAGTCACTTTGGCGTTTAATGTGAAGTGACAGGAGACACGTGGTATCGACGTGGTTCGATGTGTTATAAAGGTTTTTGAGAACGGAGAAATAATAATTTTAATTATGCATTTAATGTGAGAGCGACCAGCTATCAGCCGGGGGGCTCGAGGTATGCCATCGCCTTTCTACTCATCAGGTAGAGGGCTGAGAAGTATCGCCTTTTGAATCGGCTTCATGAGATGTCGACAGAATAGACGACCGTGTAGGTCACTTGGGGAGTTGACCTTGTGAGGAGGTTGACATGTACCACCCTTTGAGCAAGCTACACGAGATGTCGACCCTTCGAGTCGTCTGAGCTAGGGGCTTTGGTTATCTCGAAGTGGTGAACAAATTTAATTATGCTATTAATGTGGGACACTTGTCTGCTACTGAATGGAGATTATTACTCAATAATTAAAGCACTATAACACTTATATACCCTAAAATTTCTAAATTTTGCAATTTAACACTCTCTATTATGGAAAACATGAGAATTCACGCTTGAAAACTCTCATGCGTCACTCACATGTTAATTTTAGAGCATTTATCTCTTAATATTTGTAAAATTTACTGTTAGACCTATCAAAGTTCAATCCTAAAAAAGAGTTATGACTGGTTAAAATAGAGTTAGAGTAGTTTAACAATAAATTTAACAAAAATTATAAGGTTAATAATTTCCCTAAATTAATATGTGAATGTTGCAGGAAAATTTTCAAGGGAAATTTCTTGTACAAATTACAAGGTATTTTAAACTTAAAAGTATAATTTTTAAAAACTTTTAAGGTATGTAAGTAAAACAAGTGTGCATATATAAGTGAAAAGCAGGGGAAATTATAAGACATTTAAGTGCAATTAAGCAACTAATATAAGATATATATATTCAACATTGATTACTTATAATCTACAATTTCCATTTTGTCTCAATTGAAACATTTAAATCACTTTAAACTAGTTGTAAGTCATATAAGTAGGAGTTTATATTCATAAAGATTAACTTCATTTTTGTAAAGTTAAAAGATATTAATTTGACGGTGTGTTTTATTACTGTAATTGTCTTTGGCAATTTAATCATCTTCAGCCTTTTCTAGGGCTTGCTCGTTTGTCTTAAAACGGTTTAAACCGCCAAACCTTTATACCAGTCCCCTTCCTTCATTTGAAGGAAGTAAAGGATCTAAATAATAGAGGAATGTGAAATATAAGCTAAGAGAAAGTAATATAAAATTTATTGTTTTTGGTCATACATTAAATGTCTAAAGCACGTGCTCACACTCAAGTGACTCATCTTCTAACCTATTTCAACTTTTATCTTCTCATAACCTGAACTTTCAATTTATAGCTTCTCATTTATGCTATATCACTTCATTCAACATAAATTTCCTCATCTTTTATTGTACATCTCATTCATGGCGTAATTTTTATTTATAAACTCATATTTATAATAATCAAAACAAAATCTCCAGAATCATGATTGCATTTGTACAATCGTAACTTATGATTACACACTTGTACAATTGTAACCTATTTTTTGATAGATCACTTAGCTCTGAAACCTTATTTTGTAGTTAATAATGCTTCTCTCTAAAATTTCTTGGAGAGACCAGAATAGGTTATCAGACATCTAACTACATTTAGCAATGTTTTATTCTTTATTTCAGCTATAATATTTTGTTATGTCGTATACGACATTGTTATATTCCTTTTAATTTCATAATGAATACAATAACTCTCAAATTTTATAGACTTACATTCTCCATCCATATCTGTCCTCAAAATTTTAATTTTTCTTCCAATTTGGTTTTTAACAACAGTCTTATATTTCTTAAAGCATTCAAATACTTTCATTTTTCTAGACATAAGATAGACATGTGCAAATTTAGAATAATCATATGTATAAGTTGAAAGTACGGGGGGGGGGGTGAATAGGGTATTCGCTAATCTAATCCGATATTGATGCCAAATTAAAACTTATTAAGTAATATCCTAGCCAATGATGATAGAAACAATAATATAAGCAAGGATATATAATGAACAATAGATGATATAAACTATAAGACAAAAAGCGATATGAAGATATAAACAAGAAAAAGTGCATTAATGCGAAACACAAACAAGTAATATGATCACGCAGTTCGGTCAACCCTTGACCTATGTCTCCACTCCTCACCTCCAGGAGATCCTCCACTAATCATAAATACTACACAATCGGTTTTCAAAACTCACCAAAAACTTTTAGAATTCTCACGTTGTCAATCCCACTATATACTCCTCTAAGTGTTGACCTACCCGTGTCACATTCCTTAAGTGTTTGGAATTACTACCTCTCTCTAAGCTATTACAACTAAGCTACTTCTCTTGGAATTAACATCAGTTTCTTCCAACCACTCCTCTAAGTGCCATTGTGTATTACAACGTGTTTATCGATAAGCTCAAATAAAGATTTTGTTTTCTAATACAAATGAGAACAAAAATAATAGCTCACTCAATTGTTACACTCTCACAACCCAAAATATACAATATGTGAAATA